TAGGATCTAAACAAAGTTGATTCAACCTATTCATCTGTTTAGAAATGAGCAAACATCAATATGGCTAGGGTGATACCCACTGACCACCTGAGTCAACATAACTGAAGAAGACAGGCTCAGGGAGGTCCAGGTCCTTGTGCTACATGGACCTTCACCCAATGAAAGCATTAGAAATGAACTTTGTGACACCAGAATGAGGAGCAACAATAAAAACACACCCTAAATCAAAATCATTATCTGTTAAACTAACTTAGTTCTGAGCTGGGCTTTAGTTATTAAAATAATTTTAGAGAAACTAATAAATATGCAATCCACACCTGTTAATAACCATAAAGGGAGTTCTAAAACCAATTTTCAATACAAAGAGATAATTTATCTGTGCCTTATTCCCAAACAGTAATACCCAAACACTGAAGTGAAAGAGAGAGTTATCTGTTTATCTAATGGTGACCAACAACGGAACTTTAGTGCTTTCAAGAGCCAGGCCATTTTTATTCATATTTTAAATTCTGTGAGCAGAGGCTCAATCTGCTGCTAGGGTCTGCTTAAATTCCAAGCACCTGCTTTCTCTGGTCTGGAGGCAGATGGTCCGTCATAAAAATAAAAGTCAAGGGGAATATGCACAAAAAGATAGTCCCTTTAAAACCCTTTCGGAGGAGGCTCTTTTTCCTAAAATCTAATACTGTAAATATACATGTTTATGTTAATGTCTTAGCTCAGAATTGGGGAACTGATGCAGGGCATTAAAAAATTCCTCAGGCTCGGATCTCGGAAGATGGCGGCATAAGTACACGTCTGTATTTGCAACCTCCCACAACCACATCAAAATTACAACTAAAATACAGAACCACCATAATCCAGAACTGCCAGAAAGCTGGCTGAATGGAATTCCTACAAGTAGAGCAGTAAAGAACGAAGCACACTGAGACTGGTAGGAGGTACATAGGCATGGAATGAGCTGATCCAGCACCCATGTGTGTTGCTTTTTTAATCCGAAGGGAGGTCATCTCTATGGAGACTGCCCAGAGGAGCAAGGGGTCCCAGCCCCACACCAGACCCCCAGCTCAGGGTCCCAGAACTGGGAAAAGAAGTCCCTACCAGCAGTAAGAACTACAGGCTGTAAAAACCAGTGCTGGGGCTCAGTGACACAGAGGCTGCTAGAGACCCAGCTGTTCCTCTTAAAAGGCCGACACCATGAACTGAACTGAACTTACCAGGTCCTGCCTCCTCTGAGCTCCAGCACCAGGGCGAGGCTCTGGGGAACACACACACATATAAGGAGGAACTGGATTGTCTGACACTAGGGCAGGAACATGGAAGTGGGGACGGGGCCTTCTCCCAGAGGGAGGTACTCACAAGGATCATTGTTTCTATGCTGGGACCTCCCTTGTTGCAGGGCTGATTGGCAGCCATTTGTTTGCTTCATCCTGGTTGATCCCTAAAAACCCAGCCTCATCCAATTTACAATTCCACCTAAGCTGTGTGCAGTAGCTTTTACATATGAATGGCCTTTCCTTGCATAGGGTAAAATCTCTCAAACAAGCTGCAGCTGGATAAGGGAGTCCAAATTTATCAATAAAAGGCCCAAGACTTGGCACCAGCACCAGCCTGCCTTGCTTCATAGCTGGGCCTCGTCTGGGCACTTTCAAACCTGATACAAAGAGGAGGAATCAGCAGATCTCTCTGAGCTTCTGCTGGGTGAACCCAGGGAGTGGCTGACTTTGCACTCCCTGGAGACCCAAGAGCCAGTGTACTCAGTAGTCAGTGTCAGACCATACCAGATTATAACTTTACATCCATAAGCAACACACTCAAGGGGCAGATGCAGTGAGAACCAAAGCCCCACTGAAGCAAGTTCATAGGGTTATCTCCTGCATAGCAGCTCTCTCACTATAGCTGTAGCTGGTCCTCAAAGCCAATTGGCCTGGAGGTCAATTCCTTCCAGTGACACTAATAGCAATCAAGTCTCAACTATAATAAGACTGTGCTCACAGCCCACAAAGGGGTGCACTTAGAGCTCCCAGCTCAGGTGACTGAGGAGGCTGAACCACTGGGCCCTATAGAACACCTACTACACAAGGCCACTCTACCAACTCACGGAGACATAGCAGCTCTGTTCAATAGAAAAAAACACAGGGACGCAGCCAAAATGCAGAGACCGGGAGGCATGTTGCAAATGAAAGAAATGGAAGAGAGGAGACTACTGGTTATAGAGTTCAAAACCATGATTATAAGAATACTCAGGAATCTTCTAGAGACCTCCAAAAAAATGGAAAAGGGCCAGTTAGAAATTAAGCATACACTTACTGAAATAAAGAATAATATGCAAGAATTCAACAGTGGAGTGGAGGATTCTGAGTATCAAATCAACAATTTGAAATGTGAGGAAGCAAAAAAAAAACCAACCAGAAGAACCAAAAGAAAAAAATCCAAAAATGTTAGGATGGTATAAGGAGCCTCTGGGACAACTTCAAGCATACCAACATTTTCACTGTTGGGGTGCCAGAAGAGGAGAGAGAGCAAGACATTGAGGACCTGTTTGAAGAAATAATGATAGAAAACTTTCCTTATTTGGTGAAAGAAATAGATTTACAAGTCCAGGAAGTATAGAGGGTCCCACACAAAAGAAAGCCAAAGAGGATCACACCAAGACACATCATAATTAAGATGATAAGGGCTGCCCTAGCTGGTTTGGCTCAGTGGACACAGAGCATCAGCCTGCAGACTACAGGGTCCCAAGTTTGATTCCAGTCAAGGGCACATGCTGGGTTGCAGGCTTGATACCCAGTAGGGGTTGTGCAGGAGGCAGCTGATTCATGATTCTCTCTCATCATTGATGTTTCTATCTTTCCCTTTCACTTTCTCTCTGAAATCAATAAAAATATATTTTAAAAATAAAAAAATTAATTAATTAATTGATTAATTAAAATGCCAAGGGCTAAAGACAAAGAGAGAATCTTAAAAGCATCAAGAAAAAGGAGATAGCTAACTATCAGGGCAACCCATATGACTTGTCTGCTGATTTCTCAACAGAATCCATGCAGGCCAGAAGGGAGTGGCAAGAAATATTCAGAGTGATGAATAGCACGGATCTACAACCAAGATTACTCTACCCAGCAAAGCTATCATTTAGAATTGAAGGTCAGGTAAAGAGCTTCATAGATAAGAAAAAGCTAAAGGAGTTCATCACCACCAAACCAGTATTAAATGAAATGTTGAAGGGTATTCTTTAAGAAGAGGAAGAAGAAGAAAAAGATTTTAAAAAAAATATATGAACAACAAATGGCAACAAACGCATACCTATCAACAATTTAATCTAAAAATAAAATAAACAAAAAAGAAATCTAATGAATAGAAAAAACCAGTGAATAAAAAGAATCAGAGGTAAGGAAGTGGAACAGACTGATAATTCTCAGAGGAAGGGGGTTGAGGTGGCATGAAGAGATTAAACAAAGATTTTACAATCATATATGCAGTACCTATGGACACAGACAATAGGGTGGCAAAGGCCTGGGGTGGGGTGGAAACCAGGTAGAGGGGGACACAGGGAAGGAAAAAGGAACATCTGTAACAATCTCAACAATAAAGATCCTTTTAAAAAAGGTCCTTAGCCTGATTCATATGCATGTGTTCCCATATTCCCATAGGATGGGGAATAGCCTTTAATTTAGCTTATTAGCACCTAAGGCAGAACAGCTTCTTATTGGAATTCTCACTAGTATCCCAAACAGCAGCAGAAGCTGCAATTCCAACCTACAGCCTAACTGCAACTCTATCAAGTTCTCAGAGTGACCAAAACACTGCTCAATGGTTGTGTGAGTCAGCTTAAGCTGCTACAATGAAGCCCCACAGATTGGATGGCTTCAGCAACAGGAATTGATTTTCACAGTTTTGGAGGCTGGGAAGATCAAGGTGCCGGTCAATCCAGTCTCCCTGTAAATGTCCTCTCCCTGGCCTTCTCGCTGTGTCCTTACATGTACAGAGAGGGGGCTTCCAGGCTCTTTTTCTCTTATAAGAACATGAATTCCAACATGGCGGCCCCACCTCAGGATCTCCTAAACCTAATGACCTCACAAGGTCCCCACCTCCAAATGGCATTATGGGGATTAAGGGCTTTAACACACAAATTAGGGAGGGACACAACATTCCATCCAAACAATGGGATAACCTCATACATATATTTTATAGGGCTTATATAGCTAAGCTAAGCTGTAATAAATTGTCCTCGATATGTTTTTCCACAATATTTAAGTAAGGTGGTGGTACTTCTCAAACTATAGGTGCACCAGAGCCCCCTGCAGTTTGGTAAACCAGTTTTCTTGGCCTGACCCACAGAGAGTCTGATTTAGTACGTCTGGTACGGAACCCAAGTGATTGCCTTCCTCTCAAACTCCCAAATGCTGCTCATGTGATCTGTCTGCTAAATGCACTTTGAAAACCACTGATACAGGGGTTCCCTTTAGAATGTCAGTATCAGTTTTGCTTCTTTGGGCCTGTATTGGCTTCTCAGTAAATACCTATTTTTATGCTGAACACATTTGAAATGTGTCATTGGCTTATACTCAAATGTTGCAGTTACATACAAAGATGCTTAGAAGCAGATGGACAGATGTGCTGAGGCGAGGCTGCTTCGTGCTGTGAGCACCAATGACAGCCCATTCATCAGCATGTTTGACTGCTGATGTGCGGCTGCACAAGTCTCCAGGTTTTTCAAGGATGTCTGCTGACATCCGATCCTGACTAATCTTTTTCTTAGAATGTAGACTGAGTCTTTGAAGTTGCTGGATTCAGCTATCTTACCTCGACAAGCACATGGCAATAGTTTGACCTGACATCAGATTTTGAGATAGCTTAATATGACGCACTTAAGCAATGCTTAGCATTTCTGTTCAACTCATTTGTCCTATAATCACATTTGGTTAAATTTTAAAGCAAGGTTCTGTCATGAAACCGCATAATTTTAAGATTTACTTCAAGCGCACTTTGGAATGTAAACATACCTTATTGAGCTTTACAAAATATTCCAAACCAGCTTCCAAGGGGTTTGTATCGCAGTTCATCTAAAAGAGAAGCACACATTTTAAATATTAGATGAGTGCAAATAATTTCAGTAACTTTCCTGGTTTTGTTTCTTTGTTTTCGTGTTGTTATTTTGGAAAGAGAATACTTTTTTATTTTAAATATAAATTCTGAAAAAGGATAATTATTTACTGTGATTAACTATTTAAAGTGATTTTTAAAATCTAAAATTCAAATGTAGCCTTTCAGTTATTTCAATAGCAAAGTAGAAACTAAAATTCAGTTTGTTTTCATGACTTTTATTACAATAAATAGCTGAGTGATGCCACAACATGATGTTCCTTCCATAAACAAGGCTTTCATGTAATAATTTTGCATAATTAGGTTTTGAAAAGTTATGAAAGTAACTTGCTTATCTTACAATTAGCCGGGATTCAGGATAAGTAGAGGGGAAAGCAGATGGTAGAAAAATGATTTTTATGGAATTCAGGAAAAGAGAAAAGCAAAAAGCAAACGAGGACTCTCAATTATGTATATATATGGAGAGAGAGAGAGAGATTAGATATAGATATAGATATAGATACTTTTGGTTTTATTTTCTGGGATTAAAAAAGAATATAGGCATAAATGTTTCACTTGATCCTCTTAAAGATATCCTTTAAAATAATTTATAAAATGGTTTAATTCAGGTTTCTTGGTTATCAGGACCCATCAATGTCACTGTCAGCCTTGATTAATTGGTTCAAAATTTCAGAACAGAAGAAGTAACTTATGAATATTTTCCCAATCCCTGAGAATCATAATCACCTCAGGACTATTTTATCCTTTCATCATACACTTCCTGAAAGTAGATGTATTCATTCATTGTTAATAGGACAAGGAGTAATGTATAGAGCAGGACTGGCCAATGGGCCATATAAGGCCTGCAAATCGTTTGGTTTGACCCTGCCAAGGCATTAAGGGTGAGTTAAGTGTTTGACGAAATACAGCAGGCTAATTTTTAAGCTGATAATTTTGTATGGCCTGGGAATGATACAAATATCCAATGGCCTTTAGAAAAACAAAAGGTTCCCCACCCCTGTCCTAGAGGATTAATCCATGTAAATTGGCTTCCACCAGTAAACAAATTTTCTGAAAATCAGGGATGTAAGTCAGGAAGAAAACCAAAGGAGGAATAACCTAGACCTGTGACTGGCAAACTGCGGCTCATGAGCCACCAGTGGCTCTTTGGCCCCTTGAGTGTGGCTCTTTCACAAAATACCATGGCCTGGGTGAGTATGTTTTGAAGAAGTGGCATTAGAAGAAGTTTAAAAAATGTGGCTCTCAAAAGAAATTTCAGTCGTTGTACTGTTGATACTTGGCTCTGTTGACTAATGAGTTTGCCGACCACGTGCCTAGACCATTCTGCTGAGTAGTGATCATCACCTGCGTTTTTAAGGTTCCAGTGGAGTTTCTGTGTTACATCTGAGCCCAAACTGCCACTACAAAAGTGGTGAGCAAGTCAGCATGCTCCATGCCAGATGACCAGTAGTAGTGTGAGCCAGAAGACTTGTTTGCCATGAATTTGTGGCTGCATTTGGTAGGAAACGACGGTCTGAACAAGCATACACAGAGAGCCTATACCAAAGGCAGCACTGCTCCACACACGTGTGCAGCAAAAAAAGGTGGTTCTCTGGAAGTCTGCCGCAACAGAAAGTCCTAAACAGCTCAGCAATCCCAGTCCAAGGCTGATAAACTCCCCTTAGAAATTCAGAGCATGAACTTGCTTATAATGAACATAAATGGCAGAAACGCATAAAACTGTGGTGAAATTTAACAGACAAGCATTGTTCTGGAGCTACTGTGCCGGTGTCACTGATATGAGGCAAACAGGGCAGCATGGTGGAGAGTCACAACAGTCATGTATGAGAGTATGAAAGCTGTAGCCGTCCAATTGCATGGGCTGAAGGCAGGAAACTAAGGCCTTCCTGGCACCACCGCATCTCAAACAGGTCTTCACACTGAACAGTTCCTTGCTTCTTTGGTTTCATCTTCCTCACTAAACTTCAAGTTCTGTGAGAGCAGGATCCAACTGTTTTCTTCACCATTATCTTTCCAGCTACTGTTTTAGTCTGTCTTCAAATCTGCCCAACCTGCCCCTATGTTCTCTGCCTTCTTTGAAGATCCATGCATCAGAACTCATAAATATTTAAATGCCACTGGTAATAAGATGGATTCCTTACGTTGTCTCCTCTACGTGGTGACTGCTTGCTAGGATGAGCCGCCAGGGATGGCTCCTGGATCCGGAGCCTGCAGGCTGGACGGAGATGGGCCTCAATCTTTTCTAATGCAGCTGAGTTATTACAGTATACTTCCAGTCAAAGCTAACACAACTTCTGGAGACTAAGCCTGAAGTTAATGTTCTTGCCTGTTTATTTATTCTGTTGGTGTTTATCTCTTTTGCTCTAAGAGAACTTGTCTAAACCTCATAAAAAGTAGGCAAACTTTTAAGAAAAACGACATCAGCACAAACCTAAATCAAATGTGTAATACAAGCTGGTTTCACATTATATAAAATGTGGTCTCATATTTTCTAATTAATTTGAATTAATTATTTTTTTTATCGGCTCAAAGTTTTAGAATTTCTCCCCAGAGTGGGGGAGGGATTAAAACAAAGACCAGAATATTTACTGCCATGATACCACTAGAGGGCGTGCTGGCACTGCTGGGAAATCAAGGACCTGGGATGGAGAAAAGTTAAGAGGATGGTTCCCAGAGAAGGCAGAAGATAATAAAAGGCAGGAGGGTGGAGGGAGGTGGAGAAATGTTGGACTCCAAGGACTGCTTCTGTGGCTTCATTCCTTGGGGAGCAGTGTGGGGACTCTCCCTGCTGCATCCTTATCTAAGGCCCTGGTTGTAGACTGGGAACCCCTTGATAGTACCTCTCTCCTGCAAAATGCCCACCTGCCCCACGGCCCTTCTTACAGGCTCCAGGAGGCTGCCCTCCCCACCTCAAAGCCCACTTGCTTCTGCCCGTAGTTTAACTGCCCAGGGGGCCCTGCCTGGGCTTCCCAACCCCCTTTGCTCTCAGTTGAATTCATTCTATTATATGCTAGGCACTTTATAGACTAATATCTATAATTCTGTAGGAGAAAGATTATCTCTATTTTATAGAAAAGTACAGAAGCCCTGGAGAGTCAAGGCCACATGTGTGCTGGAGGATAAATTCAGACCCAAGAGAGTCCTCTCTAATGTACACCCTTTACGTCTATTCCTCATCTCACTTCTCAAGCCTAAAACCTCAATGTCTTCCAAGGAAACAACTAGGAATCTGAAAAAATTAAGGGGTCCAGAGATAGCCTGCCATGCTGGAGATAATAGGAGAAAAGATTTAAACCATAGTTTGGCCACTTCATGTAACCTGGACAACATTGCTTACTGCTCCTTAGTGTGATTGGGTGCAGAATGGGGATACCCTGAGCCCCAACCCCTTGTCCAAGAATCAGCAGTAATCAGGAGAACTGAGAAGGTACATGACATTATGCATATGAAAATGGTGTGTAACGATACAATGGAAATCCTTAGTTCCCATTATCAATGATAGAAGTAGGCTAGACCTAGACCATCAACTGTGCTCTTCAGAAAAAAACTGTTTGTTGTTATTTCCCCAAAAGGAACAGGCTAAGAAGAAAATGAGAATGGGCAGCATGGCAGAGGAGGAGGAGGAGGAGGAGGAGGAGGAGAAAGGGAGGAGGAGGAAGAGGAGAGGAAATTTAAAAGGTGGTCCTCCTATTGTGGGGGGTAGGCAGGCTCCCTCAGAGCAGCTACAGCTCCACACACAGTCAGAGACAGTGTCCAGGGCTCTTTGCCAAGAGGAGGAATTAGGCAGAATAAACATTACATCATAATTACACTAAACTTTCAACTGGGAAATTGGAAAGAAAAACCTCTTCCTCTAATTAAATAAAGTTGCCTAATAATACATAACTTCTCTTACAGTCAGAGCCCATGTTAAGGCAGTTAAAACTAGTCCTTATAAAAATAAAGAAAAGAATGATAAAAATAAAAATAGCCCTTTTATAAAAATCAGATATGATAAACAACATTTTAAGAAGATCTGGCATTTCAAACCTCGGACCCCCAGGCTCTGAAAGCTTTCTCCAATCTTAAGGCATTCATGGCATATGTGCCAAAATTGTCAATTCCCTCCTCCTGGCCTGCATCCATGATGGCGTTATACAGCGCCGCAGAATCTTCTCGTCTGTGGTACAGCTCCCAACCCAGCTCACCTAAAAGAAACCCACAAGTGCCACCTCAGAGTAAGAATAATGGTCACAAGGTATAGTATACATCAGCTAAAACACATAAATAAGTGGAGAGATGCCATTTGTGCAACATAGACATTGCTGAGTTTTGAAAGAACAGTTCATTTAAAAAAAAAAAAAAAAAAAAAAAGGCAACAAAAACCTACTGCAAAATTCCTGCCCAATCCTGTCTCTCACTGAGAGGGCGGTATCCAGGACACCGCTTCACATGACGTAGAAAGACTATGGTGCAGGAGGAGTTCATCTTGACCCTTGCCCGGCCTCATGATATTGAGCAATTAGCATGGCATAGTTTATCCAGATAAGGGGAGGTTCAAGGTTTAGGAAACTCTACACTCAACTCCTTGCCCCAAAATCACAAGACTTAAAAAAAAAAAAATAGCCAATTGACATTTATTCAAATGGTGTTCATTGTGGGACAGTCACAGTCTCTTCATTCCTCCTACTCCCTCTTTCTTTCCCACTTTGTCATTTCTTTCACCATTAGAGCTATAGGCAAAAACCAAAGGAAATGAAGCCCAGCCCAGTCTGCTTATTTTTCATTCTGCTCGTGCTTTACTCTGGTCACCACTTTGCCAAGGTTAGGTGGAAGCGGTGGAGGGGCGGGTGAGGTACACAGATGTCAGGGACTGTGTGTTCTCCTTATTCCCCAATGTTGAGGGCCAGTGGTGATGTGCCTTCCAGGACACCACTAGAGCAAGAGCAGCATGCACTTGAACAAATGCCTGGGCACCAAGTGCTCCTTCTGTGAAAATGAGGAAGTCAGATGTGAGCCCGGAGCACCAATGGGGAGCTGAAGAAAATCCATCCAACTCTGTGCTGAATACCTACTATGTACGAGGTGAGGTACTATATGAAGACTTCCTCAATACACTAAGGGCCTAGAAAGAAAGATGGAAAACAGGAATGCTGCAAGAGAGGTGCCTGATACATTCAACATGGTCTCTATGGGAACCATCTTGAATGATCCCAGATAGAGTCTGTCCACCTAAATATTCTGTCCACCCTTCCAGCTGTTCCAGCAGCCATCATCTTCCCATCCTTCATACACCCTTACAAGTGGTAGGCAGCTATAGAACAATTTGAAACTTGTGGAATGATCCCTCAGGCTAAAAGTGCAGAGACAGAATTGTCACAAAAGTTGGGCAGGAGAAATCTTTCTCCAAAATTATACTGATGAGAGAGAGACCATTTTTGGTAGCTTCTTTTAAATTTTACTCTAAATTATTTTCTGATTCTTACCAGTATAAGATATCCTAATAGCAGTGACAGGAATGTTGGAAACCTTTAAAGACTTGGTTTGAAGAAACTTGAAGACATCATCACTAAGATCTTCAGAGGTCAGTTTCTGAAGGACCTTTCTCGCGTGTGGCCCTGCAACCCCAAGGACTCCAAGCTCATCAGTTATGTTTTTAATTTCAACATCATATCCACCTTTGACTGCCTCTTCTTCAATCCATCTGCATTTGAGTCATAAACGTTGTGTTAAATCTTGCTTGAATAATGCATGTTGGTAACATATTATTTCTCTGAAGACATACTTGATGTCTAGAATTACCAGGAAGTCTCCAGGGTGTCATTTCATATAATCACCTAATTTTTAAAGTTGAGGAATCTGAGTCCCAGACATGTTAAGTGATTCTCTGTAAACCACCTGCTTATATAAGCTGAGGGTAATTTTTCACAGTACAGAAGGATCCTTCAATTGAAATGAGTTCTGGCACACAATTACTTCGAATAGTGACAGCCCTATTGTATTTAAACTAATGACTCAATCTTGAAAAATTAATTTAAACCCAAATTTTCTCTAATACCTGTACACAGAAGGCACATTCATGCTGCCAAAAGTCAATAATGGGCCTGCCATCAGACACAGAATTACTCTGACAATCGCAAGGAAAATATAAAAACTCTAAAGACTATTTTCAATTTCTGTCCTGATGAGTTATTGGAACCTGGTTATAGAGTTTGTTTATGACTTATTGAGTGTCCCTAGAACTCCACAGGTCGATTGTTACCAAAATGGCTCCCAATACATCCTGGATAAGAGGATCTATTTTGCAGCATTTTATAACTAGAGTGAGAATCTGTCAGCATCAAGTTTCTCCTGCCCAATTTTTATGCCTATTCATTGCTAGTCTGACATTTAGTAAACAATAATATTCAAAATTCTAAAGATTCATGTGAAGGATCAACCTGACAGGTCAACAATCTAAAGCCAACTGTGGACCAGAGAGCACAAAGCATGAAAAAGGAAGAAGATAACCCAGGGAGGCAGCTTCCTGTACTCAATGTGGGCATCAGAATAAGAAAGACTGGCTTCAGCAAGTTACTTTAATGCAAACTTCAGTTTCCTCATCTGAAAATGGGAACAGTATATACCATGCAAATGCATATCTATTAAGAGAGTTAATTAATATAAATATGTAAAAAGCGTTCTGACACAATGATGATGTCCATAAATAGGAGTTGATATTATTAGGACCAGTACAGGAATTCCCTTTTGGAAGGGGGTGGAGACAGGGTCCCTCACTTTAAATAATTTTGGTATAGCCATGAAGTTTATTTGAATCAACAAGGTTTAAGAATTAAAGTTGTACTTTCGACTACTGGTGAAAGAAAAACTCAGTTTAAGATTGAGTCAATGTTTAATCCATATACAATTATCTTACTAGGTGCACACTTACCTAAGATCATGAAGTTCTGATCCAGAACCAGTTATTAATAGAAACTCCCCAGGAGACTGGTGAGATACAGTCAGCTCAGCATACACTCGACCTTTTGGTGTTAACATGTGACTTATATTTGTAAAACCCACCTGCACAAGAGAATTTAAAATTATCTCAGGATGAAACAAAAAACTTATGTATCCCTTTTAAACCAACATGGAAATAAAAATGTGAGTGTCAACAATGAAAAACTTGCAAATCTTATCATTTATATGATTGGTATGAATTATTTACAAACTTAAGTCCAAGATTAATTTTGAAGTTCTCAGTTTAAATTATAATTATTTGTCTTAAAAATTATACTTCAGTCAAAGTTGTAGTTCCTATTGACACAATTAAGAAAAGTTCGGTCGAAACCAGTTTGGCTCAGTGGTAGAGCATGGGTCTACTGACTGAAAGGTCCCAGGTTCAATTCCGGTCAAGGGCATGCAGGCACATCCTCAGTAGAGGGTGTGCAGGAAGCAGCTGTTCGATGTTTCTCTCTCATAGACGTTTCTAGCTCTCTATCTCTCTCTCTTCCTATCTGTAAAAAAAATCAATAAAATATGTTAAAAAAAAAGTTCATAACATTCTTGGATGATAACTCATTCAATAAAAGTTTAAATTAAAAAGAGTTCTAGTGTTCAAAATAGTGGGCTAAAATAACATATTGGGGGGTTTCTATTTTTTTGCTTTAAATGAGAGGATAGAGTTAAACAGGCTACAATCTTGAACCTTGTACCATTTTAAGCTTATCTACCTTTGGAATGACATTTGCAAAGAGATGGTCCAACAATCTAGTAGAATCTTGGCCTTTGATGTTAAACTTGCCAAATGGTGACAGGTCAATCACCCCTACTCTTTGCATAACTTGTTTATATTCAGAGCCGACCGGCTCAAACCAGTTTGTGCGGCGAAAACTTGGCCTGAAACACAAAGTTTGTCATAAAACAACTGTCATACATTTTTAGAAAATTACAGAATAAGAATATTTTAATTAACCATATTCATCTAGTAAATCCTATTTGGAAAAAAAATGCAACCTGAAATTCTGCTCTGCAAATCATGTGTTTATGTTGAAATTTGATTTTTTTAAAGCTACTCATATGTCCCTTTTAACCCATTTCATAGTGAATAAATTATTTATTAACTAGAAAATAAGATAGGACATGTGGGCTTTAAAATCTGGAAGAGAGCATAGAATTCAATCAATCTCTTGTCATCTAAGGAGCATTTTAAAAATGCTAATTTTTTTTACCTAATTCAAAACATATGGGGGTGGAGCTATCTTGTCCAGCACTCCTCAAACATTAATGCAAATAAAATCATTGCACTTAGGCAATGGTAAAATATGTATACAGATAATAATTTAATAAAAAAATCATTGCACTTATTAAAACACAGCTTCTGACACAGCAGGTCTCAGTGGGGCCATATTTTGCATTCACAGGCTCTACACCTGGACTAGGCAAGGATCTGATCCAACATCTTCATTTCTTAGACAAAAGACAAAACATGAATTCCAAGGCTTTGCCTTATTTACTGACGGAGCTGGCCTGGAACAAAGGTCTCTGATTCATTATGCAGGGTCCCTTCCACTTGATGAAGTGAACTCCTAATGTGGTATTTTAACTTCAGAGCAGGCTTAGTCTGCAAAATGAGTTTTCAGTAGTTTAATTATTAAATTAGTAAAAGAAACAAGCCAGATCCAAACAGTACAAGGTCAAGAATAGATCTGGCATTTATCTGAGTCATTTAGGGAAAACAAAACCAACATTTTGCCCCCAGATAATCTAGACTGGCTGCCTGGGGAGCCCAAATAAAGTAATCAACAACTAGCCCTCTACTATATTTTGCACCATTTAGGTTTGGTGTTAAAGTGGACATCAAAACTGTTTTTAAATACACAATTAAAAAAAAGTAACTTAATTTCTAGATTTGCTATTTTTCTTCTCTTGGGTTATGAATTCTCATGAGGAAAAAAAAAAAGTAATCACTATAAATCCCAAGTACAGTGATGACATGTAATCCAAGTAAAACAAAAGCAACAACTTTAGAGGAGTTCACAGAATTGTTTTAGTGACAGCCTTTAGGTTTTAGATTAACCTTAAATGCTAAGTAAATGATCCTTTCTCCTCCTTTATCAACAATGCATACAATTTACATGACTTGGTGTACACACACTGGGAGGTAATTGCTTTGAGCTATTCCTTGCTAACTAGAAGACCCATACTTCCATACTATATCCATACTATGTGACTCAACCAGGCATCCTAAGCTGGGACGACAAACCTTTAGGAGCCAACCGATGGCATGTGAGGATTTAGAGCGGGTGAGAAGGTCCCTCTGAGCTCCCGGGAAATGCCAAGCGGAGGTTGGTGTAGGGCTCGTGTGGCCAAATGGGTCTTACAGGTGGGCCAGTGTCATGTGGGATAGACTAATGGCTCCACTGCCAGAAAGTAAATGTTGTAGGAATGAGGCGGAACGATGGGGTGGGAGGGGAATCGGCACTGATGTCCCTCCATCCCACCTCTGATATTGCATTCTGCAGTCAGAACCCCAGGCAGGTCAAGTCATTTACTTACCTGTACCCGGTGTCCTGACCCGGTCTGTAGAACCAGTGTGGCTGTTCCCAGCCCGCGTGAAATCCCATGGAACATTTAGACTCTAGGGTTTTGTAAAGCCCACTGACTCGCTGAGTCGGCCTCCCAGCAAACCGTTCTTCTTTAGGGTACCCAACTGAAAAAGGAAATCCAGGACTTTAACAGCATAAAACCAAAGCGAGCAAATACTTTGAAGGGATTCACAAAATGGGAAACGGTACTTAAAATCCAAAAGTATATACCTGTATTAAACTGATGTAAAACAAAACCCACAATGCTGTCATTTTTACATTGATCATCAAAGGGGAACGTCAAAATGAATTTAAAGCCGAAAATCACTGACGCACTCCACACATGAAGTATATACATGAATATAGATTTCTTGTTGCATTTTAGAGGCACAACACTTTCCAGACTCCCCAACCACTCCCACCAAAATGCACGGAACAAAAAGCATCTAGGGTCAGAGGCGCTGTGAGTCCATTTTGTACACACTTTGTAGACACAGTGAATTTGCACTTTACCAATATTGTTGAATCCATACGACTCTCTTGCTTTGGCCTCAGTGTACTGAGTGGTCGTCCATTTGCCATATCGATTGGGATCCAATTCTATTAGGTCAAAAGGAGGCTCTCCATGCAGGATCCAGTCACTGAGGTATTTCCCTATCCCGCCGGCGTGGATGATGCCATATCTTTCAAATACAGAAATATATATGCTGTTACTGACACGTGTTATTTTCAAACAACAAAACATGTCCAAGTATTTTATAGGACCTTAAAATGGGGGTGTTCTGTGCTATTCATAATCTTTAGGCTATTATATTTTTTTTCCTCAAAAAGAAAACATATTTAGGCATCCAAGTGAAATGCAGCTAACTTTGTAGCTAGTTTGTTTCCAGTTTCAAGAGATAAATACATGCAGAGTGGCCTGCAACTCTTAGCTAGTAAGGATGCTCACTTTAGGAAAATGGGCTGAAGGAAGCCATAGGCAGATGTAGTTGATACTTAACCATCCCTATTGAGCTGTGATTATCCTGATTGGAGATTTGCAGAAACTTGTACACTGTGGAGTGGGATGCTCATCTCTTCTTGGACCAATTTAGTTCAGTGCTAGGATCTTGGGCCATTATCTTAGAAGCATTCACACAAGAGGCACTCACCCTGGGACCTATGGGGAGGAGGCAGAAAGGAAGACTGGCTCCTGTATTTTGTAACTAATGGGTCACTTGATGTAGAAGATGGGCTTGTTTTTTATTTCCATATGAAGATCCTTTAAAACCAAGAACACGATTATGGCAAATTTTGTGATCTAGATGGAGGAATCATAATTTAATGTTGGCTGTGTCTAGCTCTTCACACTCACTCTCGCCTAATGAAGGACTTTACTGTGGGTTCATCTGTGATTTAAGAGAGGCTTCTGGGGAACTGACTGAGCAGGGGCTATGGAGAGATGACCACGAAAAGGACCTTCATGAGCAGACCTCTACATGCAAGAAATTACAGGACTCAGATCACACCACCTTAACAGCCAGGTTCTAAGTATTTGGGAGGAACTTAGCAAAGACTGGAAATGCCAATTAACTTTTATCAGGTTTGTTATTTGATAAAAGCAAGTGCCTAAATGTGTTAGAAGGCTATTTCTCCAGCAGAATAAAAACTCAGCAATAGGTTTAAGAAGAAAGGCCATCCAAATTATCCACAAACAATTTAAGTTTTACGAAAGCAAGAAAAATTATTAAATATGTACTTAAAATAATTATGAAAGACATGCTTAAAATGTTTATTCACTTACCCAGGTCCAATGTATGCAATACAACAGTCGCCATCTTTTTTTTTTTTAAATATATTTTATTGATATTTTACAGAGAGGAAGGGAGAGAGGTAGAGAGCTAGAAATCATCGATGAGAGAGAAACATCGACCAGCTGCCTCTTGCACTCCCCCTACCGGGGATGTGCCCGCAACCAATGTACATGCTCTTGACCGGAATCGAACCTGGGACCTTTCAGTCTGCAGACCGACGCTCTACCACTGAGCCAAACCGGTTTCGGCAACAGTTGCCATCTTTGAGAGCTAGAGGTACTGTATACAAGATTTGAAACTGTATAAACTTTTACTGACATTTATTGAAAGTGCTTACCATTTTCCAGGCATTGTTTCCATCTAACATGTATCAACTGATTAATTCTTTAGCAACTATTTTGCCAGCGAGAAAATCTATCCACACATAGGTGTGAAATAAGGTCACACAACAGTAAAGGGCAGATTCAGTATAAAAATTCAGTCATCTAACCACAGTGTATACTCCCTCTTATTGGACTTGACTTTGATGGTTCTCTATCTTTTTTTCAGCCAAGACACACGTGACAGAACTCACATCCCTGGCAGACTCCTTAAGCATAGCCAGGTTTGTACTTCGGTTTCCTCTGGTCTCATTGCTATACCATCAAATTCGTTCCCTCTCAGCAATGCTCATGAGCAAACAAATGGGGCAGAGTGATAGTATTAGGGGATAATCCTGAATCAAATCTAATTTCTTTTTAAAAAGTAAAACTTTTAATAATGTCCACTTTCTAACCATCACCAATTTATATGTAAAATGCCACATAACTAAGTGTTATGAAACTTCTATTGAAAGGCCCTGTTTTAGTAGCTAAAAGCATAGAATAAGGAGATCTGGGTATGATTTTTATTCTGCCACTCCTAGCTGTAGGACCTTGGGCAAGTTGTGCAACCACCCTGAGCTTTAATCTTCTCATTTTCTTTATGTGCTCACTTTCTTTATAGTGTTGATGAAGAATGAATTGACGTGGCATTTAAAAGCACATGTGATATAGATGGAGGCAAATAATGTGATATAGATGGAGGGATCATAGTAGGCAAGCAATACATGGTGGCTGTTGTAACAACAGAGGATGCCCAGTTGACAAGAAAAAGCAAATCATGTTGGACAAACATGAATTATGGTGAAAACAGCATCAGATATGTTATACATTTGATTTTTTTGTATTATCTGTGTCACATTGTATTATAAAAACATCCTTGTAAGTTGGGGCAAACTGCCCTAAAGAGACCCAAATAATGGAAATGGCAGAAAATATGCAAAGAGAAAGTTCCAGGAAATCATTGCCTTTCTATGTGCAAATCTTTAAAAGCTATACAAGTGATGAAACCATTTAAGACTAACATTTTTTTATTACTCCCATTCCATTGGTCATGAAAGGGAAAATGCTCTGTTCCTTTCCCCCATTCCTCTTTTGGCCTGAGATTATGGGACAAGACTTTGGAGTACAGGTTGAATTACATGGAGATACTCACCCAAAGCCAATAGCCACCCAGTAGTTTCTGAGCCCTTGATGGGGACCCACCATAGGCAGAATGTCAGGGGAATAGGTGATAGGACCGTTGACAATATTGATGATGTCAGCCTTCTTCAAGACCGGAACCATTTCCATGGCAGCTTCGACGTGTTCCATGATCCGGTCCAGATCTGACTCAAAGAGTTCCTTCCCAAACCCTGAAAGGACACACCATTGATCAGGATGCACAGCTTCAAGGACAAGTTCTCTAATGTGATTTAAATCTCTGAACTGGGATACAATTCAGGATGGCCTGTTAGGAAGGATTCCCTCTGGTTTTAATATATATTTTAATTATATATGATACAATAATACAATAATAAATGGTTTTTTTAAATTGATTTTAGAGGGATAGAGAGCTAGAAACATTGATGAGAAAGAAACATCAATCGGCCTTCTCCTACTGGGGATTGAGCCTGCAACCCAGGTATGTGCCCCCACCAGGAACTGGAGACTTTCTGGTTCATGGGTCAACACTCAACCAGTGATCCGTGCTGGCCAGGCTCTTCTTTTTCTTTTTAAGTCTAAACTTGACAATCACTATTAACAGATGGGTAAACACTATATTATTAAGAACAATAACGTTATTTCTTAACACAGTAAGATAATGAAAGTTAACTTTTTTAATTAATAGAAAATTTAAATTTATACATGATAACAGTTTGCAGTATTTAATCCAATCACAATTTTAAAAAATAAGCAGCGATTATTTGGTTTGTTAAGAGAGACCTTTTATCCTTCAACTAACCAAAAAATCTGCTTTATCTGCCCAGGTGAGGGCAAATGGGAGTTTAGTAAGCCATGCCAGGACACTGAGTTAAGTGGAAAACTACTCTGGGATTTAAGATGATGGATTCTACATCCCTTTTAAGTCTCAGCAGGGGAGGAATGGCACAGAGGCCTCTCTCCCTGAGCCTACTCCCAGACATATCTGAGGGCTTGGAGTGCAGTCATCTACTCAGTCCTACAAGGCACTGTGGCTGAAGGCAGGGCCACAGATGACCTTCTAAAAAAATAAATGTGTCCACCAATACTGATGATTTGCCCACACAGCAGCTAGCCAGCTTCTTCCTGTTCGTCCCATGGACTGCATGTTGGGTCAGTGGCCTGGAGACCCACAGATCAGCAGGATTGGACCAAAACATGTGGGTGCTCAGGGCTAGTGAACAGTCTGGTTTTCCCTCCAACTGCAATTACTAAAACATTTGTTCAACAATTATTTGGCGGAGAGGCTGCCAGCATGGAGCAGAACCAAGAGGGAGGCTCCCAGGCGGCAGACCAGCCATCCCTCGGGGTCAGGAGCTATTCTGCTCAGGTGCAAATGTACACAGCAAATCAGTAAAACTAAACCCTTAGGTAACTAACTGGCCCAACCTCTGTTGAAGGCAGTTTAGGGATCACTTGTGCCATGGGCAGAAGCACTCTTTGAAGAACAGTAGGGAGGAATTCAGTCCCTGCCTCAAGTAGCTTATCAAAGTATAATTCTAAAAAGTATAAATCCCTCCATTTCACATTATAATAATTGTGTCGCGGTGACATTTTGACTTCTTTTATAGATTAAGACCTGAACTACCTCTTTCATTGACCCAATCTTTAGCCCGGCTCTGTGGAAATGTCCCATGAATACCAGAAAGAGGTCCTTTTCCCTCCCAAACTTGAAAGAGAAACAGTAGTGCCTCCTGTTTAGCACAGAGGCCTGAGCCTTTTCCTCGTCACCTGATGCAGTAGGTTGGCTTCAGTGTGTAGTCGTAACCTACATGCTCTATGACAGGCTCCAAGGCTTCCTTTCTCAGCAGGCTGGATATCCTGTCTCTGATATCTGTCCTGTTTCCAACTGTCAAAGCACAGTAGCAGCTAAATCTAGACACTAGACACAGCAGAAGGGGGAGTGAGGAAAGAGCAGGGATGCTGGAGGTGGGCATGGGCAGGTAAAAATTACCTAGAGACTTCCAAAGCAGCGGGGAGCGTGTTTCTTCAGCTTCACCACCACCTGCCTCTTCTATCTTTCCTTACTCCCTGCCGTGATTATTCAAAGGGAGAGGAGAACAGAAGTTACCTCAAACCCCTCACCCCCAATATCCCAGATATCCAATAGTTTAGTGTTATGGCATCATCTTGTTCTGTGGCCAGCCCTCAGCCACGGGGGAGATAAAACATACATGCCTGCTATGCTCACACTTCCACTGGCTACACTTACCTGGAGGGACTCCACTGGTGACCCAGGAGTCCTGAAGTTGCATTTTCTCCTGACTTTCATACGGACCAAACAGGAGCCCATCCCTTTCCTGCCGGAGGTAGTAGGAGCCTTCCAGGTCACGGAGCACAGGGAGTTCTCGTTTCAAAGCTTTTACTTCAGGGATAGTCGAAGTAACAACATACTGATGCTGAACCGGAATGAGAGGATGTTCTAGTCCAACCATTTTACCAATTTCACGAGCCCAAAATCCTGAAATAAAAAGTCATTTTTAAGTGTCACCACATCTAACACCGATCTAAGATGATGGATTCCAGACCCCTTTTAACTCTCAGCAGGCCTCTCTCCCTGAGCCCGCTCCCAGACATATCCGAGGGCTTGGAGTGCAGTCATCTACTCAGTCCTACAAGGCACTGTGGCTGAAGGCAGGGCCACAGATGACCTTCTAAAAAAATAAATGTGTCTACCAATACTGATGATTTTCCCACACAGCAGCCAGCCAGCTTCTTCCTGTTCCTCCCATGGACTGCATATTGGGTCAGTGGCCTGGAGACCCACAGATCAGCAGGATTGGACCAAAACATGTGGGTGCTCAGGGCCAGCGAACAGTCTAGTTTTCCCTTCAATTGCAATTATTTAAACATTTGTTCAACATTTATTTGGAGGAGAGGCTGCCAGCATAAGACAGTTAGAGGACTTCAGTACTAATGGCAAAGTCTAAACAATGTCATAATGATCTTTTCTTTGTCATTGCAAAATTGGAGAAAGAGGAGACAAGACAATATTGTACCACTGTCCAGAGTTTTGAAGATAATTCTAAACTCTAAGAAAACTCTATTCCTGAAAAAGTATTTTGCCCACAAGCAAAAGTGAGCAGGAAAAATGCACAAAAATATATTTGAAGGAAAAAAAGAAATAATCCGAGTATATAAAATGTACCAATGTTGGTAAGAAAGACGGTAATGAGCTGACTGGACCTGTAGCACAGGGATGAGCATGGAAAAGGCCCCGTGTGGATGTGAGCAATGTAAAACATCACACCCATGAATCAAGCCCTGCAGGTCAGCTCCCTCTGTTCCCCAGGCCCTCCTTTCCCCAAACTGTAGATGCCTAAAATTCCACAAATACAGAATTGTTTTGTTATTTTAAAATTTGAACGTGTATCTACTTGGGGAGAGATAACATTAAGTTTTCTCTGTTATTTTAAAAGTTTAATTTGAATATGTTTGTAAGATCTTTCCTTTCAAAGAAAGGGCAGAAAGGCACCAGGAATCCAGGGATGGAGGGAAGAGGTACCACAGCCAAGGGGAGTGGGCTTACAGTGGGGATTCCTGCTGCAATGTTTCTCTCTTCACAGTGCACAGGGGGGCTGTCCTGCTGGTGGGAACAAATGTGATTGTTTTCCTTTGCAAAGGATGGAACCAGATAATTTGTGGAAGAAAGGAGCCTGGTCCTAGTGTCTATACAGTGGCACTGATGGTTTATACAGTGACATTCATTGACGCAGAGTATCAGGCAAAATTAGGCAATTCTTTTGGGCTGAACACTGGACTTCATATTGGCATGATCCAGTCACATTTATGATTTGTCATGTCAGGAAAATTCTTAAGTCAAGTTTACAAAGTTATGTCAGGCATAATGAGGCAATTGGAAATGAAGTCAAGAGAAACATACATCACTATGCAAAGAAAACGCTTGCATTATAATAAATACCTGACAGGAGGGATAAAAAGAAGGGAGAATGAAGCAGTTTTTAAAGCAACAATAAAGACAAATTAGCTGATTGTACACCAAGAGAGCAGGAGTGTCATAAACTCTTCTTCAGCTCTGCTTTTTTAAGAATGAGGTCACTGCATCCTCTCTCCTGTAGGAACATCTTTATAGCAGTGTTCCTCAAAACATATCTTGCAGACCATCTAGTACAGACAATACAGTACTTGTTTAAAATACTGCTTCCCTTTAAATCCATCTAATTAGAATATTTTTGAAATCTGGGAACCAAACTTTTTGGGAAGTCGATTTACCGGCAGAAGGGGTACTGGTTGACTAAAGTGTAAGTAAAAGGATTTGGGTAATCTTAAGGACAGAGTGGTAGCTCCACCGAGAGCACAGTGATGAAGGGAGGGCTTTGGAGCTTAGAAACAGCCAAAATGTTTACCTTGGCTGTGTTTTATAACAACGTTCATAGTGTAAAACATTACTTTATGGTATAATATATTATTTATTTTCCACTTAAAGAATCTCATTAATTAAAAAAAAATGATATGACACTTACCTGCAGCATTCACAATTCTATTTGCTCTCATAGATCCCTGTGGTGTTTCAACATCCCATGTTCCATCTGACCTGGGTTTCAGAGAAGTCACCGGTGCAGGATATTTTAAAAGGGCACCATATTTCCTAGCCCCAGCAGCCAGAGCCATAGTTAGAGAGTAAGGATCGATATGACCATCTCCAGGATTATACAGTCCGGCTAAAATCTAAATTGACCATAAAAAAATCAATACCCAAATGAATATGTACTCATTATTCAGTGTGACTATATCCACCAGCAAATGTTTAAAAAACTGGACTTGAAAAAATGCATTGAGGCATCAGATTAATCAGTCATTTTCCTGTATCAAAGCTCAGACTTAGGCAGGATGTACACTGAAAGTTAAGTAGACAGGCTGAGAGAGCCTAGCAATTATCTTCAATATCCATCCTCTCCTCCCCCTCATAGAAATAAAAATGGTATGTTTATTTAGACACATGGATGCTAAGAACAATTTCCCATAGTTGGCAGATATTAGCCCTAGTAGATAGATAAAACTATTACTAAATTCTGGTCAATAAAATGCAAATGAAAGTGTCATGTGGCAGCTTCCACAAACCATTATAAAAAGGCAACTGGCATAAGTCCTTTGTCTCTCCCTTCTTCTGTGCCATTTCCTCCATTTCCCAGTCTGCAATGCAGACAGGATGGCTGGAGTCCTAGCTACCACTTAGAATAAGTACAGAAGAGTCACACCCTAGGAATGACAGAGCAATGATTTGGAAGATGACTGGGTCCCTGAATTCTTCATGGAAAACAATTAGCATTCAAATCCAGACTGTCTAAGTAAAAGAGAAATAAACTTCTATCTAGTCTAAATATTACTGGTTTCTGACATTTGTAGTCAAATCTAATACTAACTGATCAAATATTTATATTTAATTTTTAATACTGTTAGTAAATTCACATGCTAAATATATGCCTGGTGTCAGGAAAATATAAACTTAATTCAGTCATTCAACAACTATTTCTTGAATACTACTCTGTGGTAGGGCTTGAGGCTAGTACTATGGGAGAAACAAAGAACAAAGCTCAGGTGAAATAGGAGTGAATACTCTGAAGTGGTATATTTAGGTCTTAGCCATCACACAAAAATCTACTGTGTACCAAATGTGAGCCAGGCAATGCCAACTTTTTTGTCTGCATCTATTGAGATGATCATCTGTTTTGCCTTTTATTCTATTAATGTAGTGCTACACTGATTGATTTTCAGATGTTAAACCATCTCTGTATTCTTGGAATAAATTCAACTTGGTCATGCTGCATAATCCTTTTTATAGGTTGCTGAATTAAGTTTGCTAGTATTTTGTTGAGAACTTTTGCATCAATATTCATAAGGGATACTGACATTTCTTTCTTTGTAATATCTTTGTCTGGTTTTCACGTCACAGCAATACTGGCCTCATAGATGAGTTGGGAAGGGTTCAATTCTCTTTTATTTTGGGAAGAGTTTGTGAAGACTTGGTATTAATTCTTCTTTAAATGTCTGATAGAATTCACTAGTGAAGTCATTTGGGCCTAGTTATTTCTCTGTGGGAAGTTTTTGATTACTAATCCAATCTCTTATTATAGGTTTAGTGCAAGAGGCTTTCCATTTTAATGCAGTTCATATTATAGTAACCTTTCAAATGTCACACTGGTGTTTTATAATGGGTACATCTTCATAGTGATCCTATACCTATTTAATTTGGCATCCTGCCCCAGATATGGAGAATACTCTTCAGACATGTCTCCATATTTAATGCCCTTGAAAAAAACCTGATGATGAGCACTTCCAGCAAAGTGTTCCAAGATTAACATATACATAAGATATAACATATAAGCACATCCTCTCTAGGAGGGGTGATGGAATTTCAATGTAGACAATGCAATGCCACACCAGTCTGCCATCACAGTGGCATCACACAACACTATAGACAAGGGAGTACCAATAACCTGTAAAGACTCACAAGGCAAACAACCCCAGCACCCAAATCAATGATACAAAGCCTTTGGTATCAGAGATGTTGCAGGAGTCCAGGGAGAAACATAACCCTCTGCTTCCCTCAACAGCCCTACTGGGTACCTTTAGGTAGTATGTACAAAGGAGAGAGTTGGGTTCAAATCTCTGCTCAGCTGTTTCCAGCTGGATGAGCTTAGACCCACTATGTAAACCATCTAAGCTACAGCAGCTACAGTTTTCTGTTTATGAAACATACTAGAGGCTCGGTACCTGAAATTCATGCATGGGGGTGAAGGGGTGGGGGGAGTTGTCCCTCAGCCTGGCCTGCACTCTCTCCAATATGGGACCCCTTGGGGGATGTTCAACTGCCGGTTTAGGCCCGATCTGGATCAGGCCTAAACCGGCAGTTGGACATCTCTCTCACAATCTGGGACTGCTGACTCCTAACCACTTGCCTGCCTGCCTGCCTGCCTGATTGACCTTAACTGCTTCAGTCTGCCAACCTGATCACCCCCTAACCGCTCCCCTGCTGGCCTGATTGACACCTACCTACTCCCTTGCTGGCCTGATCGCCACCAACTGCCCTCTCCTGCTGGCCCGGTCACGCCACGTAGCCTGCTGTTCAGTCATTTGGTTGTCCCTCACTAACCCCCCTGCCTTTCTGATCACCCCTAACCACTCTGCCTGCTGACCTGCTCACCCCCAACTGCTCCTCCCCACTGGCCTTTTTTCTAATTGCCCCTCACTGCCAGCCTGCTTGTCCCCAACTACCCCCCCTGCTGGCCTGCTCACTCCCAACTGCCCTCCCTCCTGGCCTGATCGCCCCTAACCATCTCTGTCTTGGCCCTGCCACCATGGCTTTGTCTGGAAGGATGTCCAGAAGGTCTCCCAGTCTAATTAGCACATTACCCTTTTATTAGTATAATCAGTCATTGTTATTATGAAAATTGGATTATCACCCAGCAAAAAAAGGCACTTAATTCTCAAATGAATTCTTTTTGTCAAATCTGGTTAAAACTAGATAAATACATGGCATAGAGCCTTGTAGGGAAGCATACATATGAGCTAGGGGATATTTGTATAGCAATATAGTAGTATTTCTACACTTGATTTTATAAAAAAATTTAATAACACAATCTTTATTGTGTTATTAAAATTTTTTATAAAATCATTCCAGTTTATTATTTTATTTATAGTTCTCAAACTGAAGGTTTATGTAAGGAAATCCCCAGATCTGGGGGACACAGTAATAGAAAGGTATTGAATATGTTTCCTCAGTTGTTATAGGTGGAAAACTAATAAAATTTTTCATTACCTTTTCATATTTCATTTGGCATACACAGTGGCTCAGCTTGTAATTTACCCAAATTCCAGTATTAATCATTTAATTTTGCCATTTAAAATGTGTGTTCAAAGTTTTTCTATTTTTAATTAACAACTTCAAATAACTTTTTCTAATCTTAATTCCAGTCAACAAATAGTGCAAATGCCCTTAGGATAAATACCTTGTTCATGTTGAGTAAAGGGAACATCTCTTGAATTTTCTCAGGTTCAATAATATACTGTTCTGTTGCATGCCAGCCAGTCCGAGTCATTTGATATTTAAATTCATCTACCCTTACAGGAGTTGTAGCAATTCTGATACTACCTGGCTGATGGAATCCCACCACCTGTTGTAATAATGCCAATAAACACACGTCAATAAATCCTTATTTGGCACTGAAACATGATTCTTCTTCTATACAATGAAAATGCAGATATATAACATAAGAGATTTACTATCCAGTGAAAGAGATAACTACATAAACATATTTGAATCTTATAAAGAAACATTCATTCATCAACTATTTACTAACTGCCTGCTCTGTGCCAGGCACTATGCTAAGCCCCAGAGATGCTGTTATGAACAAGAGAGGCAAAGACCCTGGCTTGTATGGAGCTTACAGGTGAAGCAGAGAGCTAAATGCATAATACCATACCACAAGACAGTGTTAATGTACAGAGTGAAAGAAAATTATGTGGAAAAGAGAACAACAGAGGATCTGAGGCAGGAATATGAAGGATCAGAATGCTGCAGTGATGAGATTGTGACGTGAAACAAACCTTCATTTGACATTTAATCGAAGTCCTTCAGGTGGCCAAGCACTCAGCGTGGCCCTGGGGTTATAGAAATAAATGACGCAATCTTTGCCCTCAGGTTGCTCATACTCTGTAGGGAAGACCAAACAGTAAAGCAACAACCACCATAGAGAGATGGGCATTATAGAGAGGGATACACCAGCATTCTTAGAACCAAGTGGCATGTCCCTCAGCTCTGCCTGGGTGGGCAAAGTCAAGGCCAGCTTCATAACCCCCAGAGAAGATGCAGGGTAAGTGCTGAAATGGGAGCCAGAGGAATGTTGTTTCAGGCAGAGAGCTCAGCACATTCCAGAACTGCAAGTAATTAAGAAGAGCTGAAGCATCTGAGCATAGCGAAGAGCAGTGAGAGCAAATGCTGGAAAGGCAGGCACAGCTCAGCTGTGCAGGTCCTCCTCCTCTGTCCTTTGGCCATGCAGAGCCAACTGGATGGCTTTAGGCAGGGAAATGGCCTGAGGATTTTAAGGAGACTTCCGTCTTAGCCTATGGATATTCTCAGCCTGCCAGTTTATTTTCAGAATGCTAATAACTGTGAGAAGAAATAAAAATAAAGTGAGGGGCTTTTAATGAAGTACTTTTCAAAGCCATGTGACAGTATGCCAGGCACTGTTGTCAAATCCTTTGTCATCCGGTGGCTGAAAGGCTATAATTTCTTAGTTTCTAGATATAGTAACTTACTCAAGGTATTTTTGAAAGCTGCTGCTTTGTATTCTTCCTTCATTAAAAAAAGGGGGGGGGGGGAAGAATAGTGGGTAATTACATGGGTAATACACTTCAAGAATTCAAACTGATTGGAGAGCAAACTTCAGAGGTTCTTACCTTAAACTCTTTTCTGATTTCTCTACCATATTAAACATTTCCACCACACACAGATATATATGATGATGTCAAAATCCTTCAGAGATCTTACATATTGCTAAGACACTCACCTAAAAGTCAATTTCAAGTTAAATGCATTTAATTTACCTGTCCAGTTTCTTCTTCCAGTTTCTCATAAAGTTTGATGCTATCATAGTGTATTTTCTTCAAGTTTATTCCAGGATGAAAGTAAGTTGTTAAACCTGCCTTAAAAGTGAAGAGGAAAGAAAATACTGGAAAAAAAAATTTAACATTCTGAAAATGTTGATAGCTTATCTATTAAGGAAGAACTTATTGCTGGCAAGAAATGGAGCAGCACCAGCCAGCCCCTTGAAATGAGAACACATCAGCCGCAGTTAAGCAAATCCAGAGCATAAGGCTTACTACACAGTTGTAAGAACATTTGAACAGTAATGTCAGAGCCAACCAATGAACAAAAATATTAAATATCTACAAGTTATTAGGAAAAGTTTTGTTTGAAGATTTAGGAATGGGATGGTTTAGGTAGGAAGTTTAGGAACATGTGCCATGAGGAAGAATATGGGGAGATGGTATACAATGTGAACTCAAACCAGCAAATCATGGGTGTTCCCTTAAGGGGAAGGACTATAGCCTAACAGAGTTTTCCTTGACCCAATCCCCACCATTCCCTTGAGTGCAGCAGACCTCCTGTTTCCTTTGAAATTTCCAAAATTCAAGGATTGGAATGTTCCTGGAAATTGTAGCCTAGTGATTTGATGAACAGACTTTTGTCATAGCTTTACCTGTTTGATGAGCACATAGATTGTACCCCACAAATATTTGTTGAATAAATACTAAGTAACAACTCCCAGGGAAAAAAATATCTAAATGTTAGCATGCCAAAAACCCTTTTATCAACACAGATGCAATGTAGTATCCGGATAAAGAATCCCAAGCAATTATAATATATGAAGCAAGTTCTTTTGGTTAAGTGTTTAGGGCCCCAAATTGCTGCTAATGTAACCTGGAAAGTTCATCAAATAAAATCTGTTTAGGAGTATTTATAAGGTTCTTCTATGATAGTGGTGGACAATTGGTTCTCCTGAACTAAAAAACGCCCCATTTAAAGGTTCATTAATCCTTCCTTATTGACTAGAATCCTCGGGCTTCTATCCAGTATTCGCTCAAACATTTGGACGTATGCACAGCTACTTTTTGTTTGTTGTTAATCCTCACCGGAGGATATTTTTCCCATTGATTTTTAGAGAGAGTGGAAGGGAAGGAGTAGGGGGAGAGAGAGATACAGAAAGAGAGAAAGGGAGAGGGAGAGGCAGGGGAGGGAGACGGAGAGAGAGAGAGAAAGAGAAAGAGACAGACAGAGACATTAATATGAGAGAGACACATCAATTGGGCCTCTCAACTGGGGCTGGGCATCAAACTCACAACAGAGGTACATGCCCCTTGACTGAGAATCAGACCTGTGACCCTTTGGCTCATGGGACAATGCTCTAACTACTGAGCCAACCTGGCCAGGTCATGCACAGCTACTTTTTTTGAGACAATCCTAGCCCAGCTTGTAAGTTCTCTCATAGTACAGCCCCGTTACGATGGAACTAAAAGTTGGGCTCCTTAACTTTCAGTCAAATGCTCTACTTTCCTTTACATGCTTGGTATCTTTGTGCATATGAACTTTTTTATTTCAATATAGGGAATCCCTGCTTTCATTTATCTGCTAGAGAACTCACTTTTGTCTTTCCCATAACTCCCATCATTTGAGAAAACGGATACTCATGGGCACTGACCTAGAATGGTCACCGTTCACTCCTCAAGATACTTTAAATATTAATCTAAGTTAAGCCAGAAAGTTATACAACATCTACACTACACCACCACAGAAAGCTATTTTCATAGAAGGAGTTGATAATCTTTCATCTGAAAGAGTTACATGAGTTAGTTTTTATAAAACTGTTATTCAAAAAAATTTAGCCCCATATCCTTCACGTAGGGAAGAAATTTTTCTAGAAGTTCCTGGTTAAGGAAAAGTTAGTCTACCATAGTGAAATAATGTACCTGTTTCCACTGAAAAGCTTCTACTACTCTAGTTTCCTTGCTGCTAGGACAGTTAGGCATAAGTCCTGAGCTCAATTTATTTTGCCAGGCATGAAGTAATATTATTATTAATATTTTGTATCCTATACATTTTTTTATTAACTGGTTTTTGTGTTTTAATCTGTGTTTAAAATTTAGGGTCAACCATGTCTGTGTTTTTATTGTTTTTATCCTTCAAGATTTTATGATCTGACTGAATCATGAAACTTTCATACTTAAAGCAATACAATCAAAAGCATATGATTAAGTGCTGGAACATATAAAGACATAAGAACCAAGGGAAGAAAAGATGCTAGAAAGGTCATAGAAGTCTTCAAGGAAGATAAGAAAAAAGGTTTACATTTGATTTGAAGAAAGAAGATAATTATAGTTGGCAGAGAAGTTAAAATAGGAAAGATAAATCAGAGATACAAATAATCAGTAGAAACTATAGCCTTTAGAAGAAAATAAGGATTCATGAATTCTTATGATATACCTAAATAAATAGGAAACTTCTTTATAGTAGACTAACAATTAATAATGAATTAATGAAAAGAATGATGGAGTTAGAAAAATTATCATTTGAGCTAGTGAGCAGTCCTAACCATCTCTTTAATAATCTTTCCCCCTTTAATGAACCTCAACAGCCTCAAAAAGCCCATTGATCAATCTCAAGCCATCCTACATCCCAGAGGCTTCAAATTTTTTATCCATGTATTCATTAAAAGTTTGAGCATCTCCTATAAAATATGTGCATTTCCTAATTTTCATGTGATATATAGATATGTATCATTAAATTAACAGAGATCATAAAACAAACACAAAAAAACTAGAAATGAATTAAACATTTGGATAATTATTTTGTTTATTGTGTAGAAAAGCTTTGGAATATTAAGTTTATGTATTAGCAAGAGCTATGTGGTTAATATACTTTATTATTAAAAATAAATATTGGATTAACCTTGGTAAAACAGCACTGTGAAGACTTCTATCTAGGTTTGTTGTATTTTGAGACTGGTTTGAATGGCTGTGATAGCTGGGGAAACTAGCTGTCATTGATACAGAGATCTTCATGGGAGAAGTGCCCTGTCTTGTCTGAACTCTGCATCTTGACACCACTTCCTCCATCCCAATCACACCTACATAAGGTTTCCATTGAAGTGAGACTATTAATGTTTCATGTTCTCTTGTTCATCAGTTGTTGTTACAAGCTAATTGGAAGGTTTTGCATTTTTATATTTTTAAATAAATGGGTACAAATACCACTAAAACTCCTTAGTTGAAAACATTTTAGATGGGCTAAAAAATGTAACTTTTGTATATATGAGAGTTTTTGTAGGATACATATTGTTTTGGCCAGAAAAATATAATAATAATGTCAATGTGTTTAAAGATCCCTTTTCAACATTTTCTCTTCTCAACAGGACTGTTTTTGGGGGAAAAAAGGATAGACTGTATTCTGTTTTTGTAAAAGAAAAACTGTGTTTCACAATTCTTTTATTACAATGATACCAACAAATCTCAATGTGGTACAACACTCTCAAGGTTAATCCCTCCCTCTTTCATCACCCATTATTTTATTTAAAGCCCTGGTTCTATAAAATGAATCACAAAGGTGGTGTCCTACAACACTTGATCTGCAATATGTCATGACAGACTAAAGACCAAAGAACCAGTGAGGACACTCCCATTGTGAACTTCCCACCTCTCCCTTGCTTAATCCCTTGGAATAATAACCAACACATCACCCACATCAAAGGTAAGGGCTATTTAGAAACACTAGGAGCGATTAATTTCTTTCTTACATTTTTAGTTGAAAATAAATAGGAAGCTCTAATATTGTCTTTCTACACACTGTTGGGATTATCTTTCATCTTTAGTCTTCAACCCTCCAAACCACCCACTTTCTTGCCGTCCCCAGGGGCAGCCTCTCCTGGGGACCCCAAGCTCCAAAACTGCTTCTCATTCAATCCTCTCCCTACCCCCACCCCACAAGAACTGCTCCACACTAGTAGTAGTGCCAGGTGCTGACAAAGCAGTCTCATTGAAATTCAGCAAACCCTCAGGATTTTTGGATTTGTGGCTTCATTTTGAATACTCACATGGCAAGCTGTGCCTTCCTGCCTAAGTACCGATTCCTATACTCCCAGACAAGTTTAACTTGAGCATATGCTATACTTCAATGAGACTGCCTATATTTTTTATATTCTACCCCTTTAACTGGCTCCCTAACTTTCCACATTCTCATATCTGCTGCAAATATTTCTATGTTAAAAATTCCTAATAGATGGGATTTCTTTCATGTGGCTCCTCAGAGGGAGGCCTCCTTGACTTGCAAAACTGCATAGAATCTAGTTCCCAGGGCAACCCTCTTTTCTTTCTTTTCCTTCATTTCTCTGGGGGCCAAGTAGCCCAGCTTCTGCTGCCTGGCTCCATCTTGAGCCCACACCACATGAACCAATTTTGTAAACCGTTGCATAATACTCTGTTCACAAACCAGGACAACGCCTTTCCCACTCACTCTGTTATCTATCTCTTTGCTTAAGGGAAATTGTTTTGCACAGTTAACTTTTAACTAGAAACCAGCATATTAAAAACGTTGCCCACTTTTCTTAAAAGAACTTAGGTTAAGGGTATGTTGCCTTTAAAAAAAAAAAAAAATTCTTGGGATGTCTAAGAAGTAAAATTGCAGGGAATTCAGTAATCTATCCTATAATGCAGGCCACATCAAATCAATCAAACATAAATGAGAAAATAAGTAATTAAAATGTTAATATTATTTAACAAGCTGAAAGTGTTCAAGGGTGTAAGCCTTTCACTTAGGATATTTCCACGTGCCTAAATTTCCCTCTGCCTGCATGCTCTGGCCTGGACAGCCTCCCCACCCCCTCACTCACTTCTTCCTTGTCTCTATTCTTTAAAATAGCCTCCAGACTCTTCCTCCTCCACCATTCTTTATCTCTGTATCCTCTTCCTCATGGTACTGATCACTCCCAAGCAGCTTGTGTGTTTTCTGTCTGCCCTGCCTAGGTGTGGCTCACGGGGGCAGGACTTTGTTTTGTTCACTGCTGTGTCCTCCCCTAAGAGCACTGGCTTGGCACATAGGTTCTGAGAAAATGTTTGTTGAAAGAGTGACTGAATGTCTAGCAAGGAGAAGGCATAGGAGAGTGGTAGGAGAAATACAGGCTTTCTTTTCCGTGATAGCAAAAAGCCTACATAGGAAGTCTAGTTCGGGGAGGGGAGAAGAGCCAGGAGTGTCAGTGGCTTCCTGGACCCGTCTCCAGGTAGGAAGAAGCAAGCTGAGGGGAAACTGGCCAAACAAAATACAGTGTGCCTGTGAACGTTCTGAAATTACACTCAGGAGGACTAGGTGCCTGGGCCTCTCTCCCAGATTGAGGGGAGAGGAGGTGAGGAAAGAGAAGATGGGTTGGGTACGATTTTTCTAGGGGCCTCCACCCAACCCCGTGGTCAGACTCTGTGGCCACTAGACTCTAGGGCCAACTTGGTTGAAATCTGGGCTGCACTCTCCTCCACACTCAACTATAGGCAGGCAGCCATTTCAGGGCTCAGCTTCCAGCCCACACCAGGACCGGATGAGCAGATTTGGGTGGAAACCCTAAAAGCAAGGTTTTCTCTTGTCTCAACAGGAGAAAGTGAATGACAGAAAGGAAAGTTAATGACTGACAGTTGAGCTAAGACTCCCTAACATTTCTTTCAAAAGAAATCTGTACCGACAGTCATAAAAACTGTCCCATCCTTAGCTGACTTCGGAAATAACTGGTTTGACAGCATAAAAGCAGTGTCAATCACCTCATTTACCTGAGCAGCTTTCCATTTTAGTCCAGTTATTGTATAGCCCTGGAACAATTATGCTTATACCATCAAATATGTGAGACTGACTTGGCTGAATGCATTATTTAACACAAAAGCTGTTCTCAGTCCTCCTAGTTCAGTCTTCATGTAGTCAAGCTGTTCTCTCACAACACAAAATTAAAATAATAAATAAATCAACGAAAAGGACCACTACGGCCAGGTGAGGGGACTGTAGGTGAAGGTCTCAGCCTTATTCAGGAACACCCAGGTGCTGTTCTTTTATATAAAGGACACCATTTACTAAACACTTTACATTTGTTGAGTTACTTCACACATTAACTCAATCTTCATCACAATCCTATTAATAATCCTATTTTTACACATCCAGGTGCCTTATTCACCCCAGGAAATGGATACTTAAGTAATTTGCCATAAGTCACTTGGGTAGAAAATGGCAGAGCTAGGATATGAATCCAGAAGCAGTATGTTCCAGATAAAGACAGCTTCAATGTTGACCACCACCTGGAAGTATGCCAGCCCAAATGGAACGCTGTTGAAAGGGAATGCACTCTAAAGAGGCAGCAGTGGGGTGTTGTGAATGGGAAGGAGACCGATTGCCCTAGTGCACGACATCGTGAACATGACAGTTGAGAGGTGCTTTCCTTACTGCGTGCCAGGTAGATCCAGCAGTGAGCTCCGATTTCTCCAGGAGGACCACGTCCTTCATCCCTGCTTTGGCCAGGTGATAAGCCAGACTCACACCAACACAGCCACCTCCAATGATCACTGTCTCTGCTCTGTCTTTCCATCTTGTTTCTGCAGGTAAGGGTGGGTTGTCCTTTCTGGAAGACAATTAAAAAAAAAGAAGAAGATAGAACTACTAAGCTAAAGTAGCTACAGTTGTGGTTTTTGTTGTTGTTGTTTTTGCATCTAAAATCTAACCCAGGCCCTAGCTGGTTTGTCTCAGTGCACAGAGCATTATCCTTTAGACTGAAATGTCCCAGGTTCAATCCGGGTCAAGGGCACATGCCTGGTTTGTAGGCTCGATCCCTTATAGGGGACATGCAGAAGGCAGTCAATCAATGATTCTCTCTCATCATTGATGTTTCTCTCCCTCTCTCCCTCTCCCTTCCTCTCTGAGGAAAAAATGTATATATATATTTAAAAATCTAATTTAAGCAACCTGGTTGTGGGAGGGAGGAAGAGGCATTTGAGCCCCCTTCCATATAATTCTGGTTCGTTGTAGATATTTAATATAGCTAAAGCAGTGGTCGGCAAACTGCTGCGGCTTGAGAGCCACATGCGGCTCTTTGGCCCCGTGAGTGTCTCTTCCACAAAATACCACGTGCGGGTGCGCATGCACAGTGTGACTGAAACTTCGTGGCCCATGCACAAAAGTCGGTTTTCGGCTCTCAAAAGAAATTTCAATCGTTGTACTGTTGATATTTGGCTCTGTTGACTAATGAGTTTGCCGAACACTGAGCTAAAGAATTGAACAGATGAATTATTATTATTTTTCCCCCCCCAGAGGACCTAGAGAATAACTTTTCTCATTCTATTTCAAGGACATACTCACAATCATTTTATCCCATGAAAAACCATGATCATCATGAAGTTTAATACCCATAATTCTTGGGTCACCTCCCTCCACTGTGTTCCAGGTTGAAGACATCCAAATGGAGTAAAACTTTCTTCCTCATTTAACTTTTTCTCACCGTGTATATGCTTCTCTATTAACACCACTGCTCAGTGGCTTAACATTTATTTGCATGAGCCTCTCCAAAGCATATTGTAAAAAGCAATGTGTAAGGGAGCCACAGAAGAACATATACATACACCTGTATTTGCAGACACACAGATCCTCTCTGGGCAGATACAAAAGGCACTATTAATAGGTGACCGGGGAAGGGGTTTGGAGTTGAAGAGGCTTTGCTCTGGGAACCCTTCGATTCTGTAGCACTTTGTACAGTTGTGCACGGAAAAGAAAAAAATCGAGGAGAAATCCGAATGCCCATTATTCAGAAGCCAACGCACCCCTAAGGCCAGAGTCCGCCTTAGCCCCTCGCTCCCGCCCTGCAGTCGGGGGGTTCCCACTCACCCTTCGTGGCCGCCGACAGAGAACGGGCGGCTCGGGGAGCCGGGCAGCCCCAAGCCCCGCAGCGGGAGGCCCCGCAGCCGCTGCACGCCCGGGCGGAGCATGGCGAAGCTGACGGCGCGGACACCCAGGGCTCCGAGGCGGAGGCTGGCGGGCCGCCGGGCCGCGTGAGATCCTCCCCCGGGCGAGGGGCGGGCTCCTGGGCCAGCGCGCTCCGGCCACCCGGCGACCGCAAAGCCGCTTCGCCATGGCACCCACCGCAGCCAAGAAGGTGAGTTTCCCAAAGTCCGCGAAGGCCCAGCCCACAGGCTGCGGGGCTCCCAGGGTGCAAACCCCGCTGGAGCCCCTGGGGGCTCTGCGGCCACCGCAGGGCACCTGGATGGCTCAAGCCTCCGTTTACTGGATCGCGGGGCGGGTGGCGGTATGTCTTGGGTGTGAGGACAAGGTAACAAACCTGGGTGCCGTTTGTTGAGCCCTCCCTGACTCGGAGCGGCCCTGCGCCCAGCGCTTTGAGCAAATTATCCCTTCATCTACACAACTGTCCCCCTTACGCCTGGAGAAACTGAGGCCCGAGAGTCAGAGGACGAACGCAGAGTGGAGAGGGATTTGCGCCTTCAGACCCAGAGGCCACACTCCCATCTTCTCCGCGCACTGGCCGCACCCACTGCATTCCCTCTCCTGCCTCAGAGCTTCTTGCCCTTGGTTCCCTAAGGGCCGCAGTCTGGCTGTCCTGGTGGCCGGCTGGCCTGAAACCAGTCCTGGCTCAGACCCTCAGTGGGGTGTGGAGGGAGGGTGCTTGGGGACCCCTGTGTCTCACCAGACCTGGCAGCCCAGCCCGAGTCTCCAGGCTCTTCCTCTCAGCCCCTTTCCAGGTCTGGTCGCCAGCTCTTGGCTTTGTTCACCCATTTCTACACCTGGTGTGTGAGTGGTGGGAAGAAGGGGTGACAAAATAAAATTAGGAAGGCCATGAACTTGGATGCGGGACATGCCCAGAACCTCTCAAAGCAGCCCACCTGAGCCCTGAAATTCATAAAAGATGATAGGGAACAATGGGGTGATATTGGCAGGGAAAAGAAATGTGTGCCACCGACTGATTTACACTAAAAAGTTCGGAACAATCAGGACAGTAGTGGGCTTCCTAAATCAATTGAGGTTCATCCACTTTACAAGTTGTTAGCCCATTAAGGAGCTAAGTATGGAAGCAGGCAAAGTGCTTTGACAATGTTAATTTACAAAAGGAGATTGCAACTATATATATATATATATATATATATATATATATATATATATATATATATACACACACACACACACACACACACACACCCTGTAAGGAAGGACACAATAATGGTGGTAGTTACATAAGATGAGGAATATGGGTTTAAAAACTTAAAATCATTTTGGACATGTTTTTCTGATTATAAAAGTAAAATATGGGCATTGAAGAAAATGGGTGTAATAAAAACTTAGCAAAGAACATTGTGCTAATTTCTCTAATACTGTGTTCACTTTTACAGTTCATTATTATTAAGGTTTTAAAAATATGCCATCTCTGTTCAATTTCTTCCTGGCATCTACTCTTGCAACACCAAGCTTATGACATACTAATCCATGTTAATGGGTACCTGGGAGTTAAAATTAAAATGTTAGTGGGAAGGAGTTAGCCCACTTCTCTTCTCAGCTAACAGGTGCATCTTAAGAGTTTATTTAATTGCCACAGAGGGCACCTCCAATTTTATCTTTAATCCAAAGAAGCAGTCCCATTTAATCCTAAAATGCAGTGGCCTTTTTCAGGCATAAGGGGTGATATTTTAGGCTGCCTCCTGCCACAGGGAGAAGGTGGTGGACTCCCTTGGGTATGAAGAGAGGTGCCCTGAAGCCTGAACCTAATTCCTGACGTGCACATACTGATATCTGCAGAAAGGGGGCATAACTGTCTCTCAGAGCTCATCATCAGGTCCCAGGTGGGATCACTCCAAAGTGAAAGGGAGGATGGAATGAAAATACAAATGTGCTGTAAGTTTACAGTTCTTTATTTTACACAGTCCTGTCATTCGCAAACTATCTTTAGATCATACATGTATAGTAATTGGGATGTTTAGTACAGCAGTGAAGGAGGGGCTAAAAGATGCTCTTAATTCAAATCTTAACAACTCATTTATTTTGCTAACGGTATTTTAGAAAATTGGCAAATTTAAAATATTGGACAAACATCTAGACAACAGATGAAAATGTTCATTTGGTATTATGAAGACACTGTCAAAATATGTACTATAATTTTTTTTTTTAAAACCCTAGCAAATTTTCTGTTAAGAGTATCTTTTTTTTCTTCTTCTTCTCAGGACCAAACCTGTAGCATATGTGACACATGTGACATTTTCAAAATGGTCTTGTCTGTCTGTGAACCCTGCATAGTTTTTCAAGGGCTTACTCTTTGTTAGGTGCCGTAGGAGGCAATAGGCCTAGAGACAAGGTACCTGAGCCTCAAACATCTTACAGCCACACAGAAGAGGCAGGTAAGTAAGCAAATACTGCAGAGCAGGTAGTGGATGCAGGAAAGGAGGGTGTTTGACTTCCGTAGGATACAAGGGAGAGGTTATTGCCAATCAGAGTGGGCCAGGCAAGACTTTGCTCTGGCAGCAATGGGAGATAGAAAAGGGGGCTGGAGGGAATTGGAGATCATTTCAATAATTCAGGCACGGTGAGTGAGGGGCCATATATAAGACATGTTAAATAGATCCACTTGGTTTGGATATGGGCGGTGAGATACTAACTAATAATACCTAAATTGTATACCAATATTTTTCCTTCTAAAAGTGATTGATGTGTACTATTAAATTTGATTCTTAAGATAGTTCATTGAAGTATGTTAGATTTTCAAGATGGTATTTTATACAGATGACTTATACCTCTAATTCTCTCTTCTGTACCCCTCTGTAGGCATTTATCTATTACAATGTCTTGAGATAATTTGCTGACCCACTGGCCTTCTCCAGAGAAGCCAGACTTTGAGCTTCTTGAAGGCACAGACCTTGAGTTATTCCAATGCTTATCCCACTTGCCTAGAACTGCACTGGCATGTGGGAAGATCTCACTGAACGTTTAAAGCTTCAGTCCGTTTTTATGTTTCAAAGTGCGAAACAAAAAGAGCAAACTGTATTTTATGGAGGGAGTAGAGAGATAGGTGAGAATCCAGGTCAATGTTAACATGTCTTGCCCATTCAGCTAAAATTCATCTTTAGATATGAAATATGGAAGGCTAACCAGAATTAAGGACTCGCTCTCTGTCAAACAGCACTTGTGGTTAACACAGCAGGGCTCCATTCTGCTTCTCTCCATAGGAAAATGGAGATGGTGTGGATATGGTAGCCTGGAACATCATGTTGGGTGTACCCTTCTGAAAGGCAGATATGACTGATTAGATGAGGAACTGGAAGCTTTTCTCCCCCATTTATGCATTGCTGTGTGTCCAGCTGTAGGCAGAGTTGACACAAACTGGCCTTGTATTTTCACTAAAACGGTGTATCATCAATTAATGCAGTCTATACACAAGGGTTAGGGATCACCATGGGGTGTTTGCAGTTGTCACCAGGCGTTTAGGGAAGGCCTCTCTGAAAAGATGACATGTGAACAAAGACCTGAAGGAGGTGAGAGGGGGAGCCATGCAGGAATCTGAGGGAGGCAAAATTTAGATCTTGGAAACCATAACCCTTAGATAACTGCTCTGCATACAGACTTTAATTTACGAGTGGGCTAACGAGAAAGGTGGTAAAATAGGAAAAGAATGTGTTAGGAATTTAGAAGATCTGCAGTAGGCTTTGTTACTTAGCTCTGTGATCTTGGGCAACTCACATAGACTCTAAGAACCTCAGTTTCCTCATCTGCAAAACGCCCTGCCTTGCTCACAGAACTGTTGGGAATACCAAATGATAGCATGTATACAACCATGCTGGAAAATGTAGGGCATAATTATCAAATGTTGAGTGTATTATGTTCAGTGGTTTACTCACAAAAAATGAGGTTTTCTCACCTAACAAGAGGACTAGCAACCCATGGCTGCTGCAGCTACTCAGAGATGTCACTAAGACACCAGGCTGCTGTTACCCTCTGCTCCACCAGCCTTAGCATCCGGATTTCAGTAGCGGTGGCAAGATGACTGCTATATTTCCAGGGCTTATGGTGACATTCCAGTCAGGAAGGAAAAAGTGTCAGGATGGAAGGGAGTGGACATCTGTGGCAGGAAAGCAATACTTTTCCAGAAATCTTCAGCGTACTTCCACCCATGTCTCTCTGGTCAGCACTTGTCAAATGGCCACCCCAGCAGCAAGGGACCCCTAGGAAGTGTTTTAAACTTGGAAGCATTGTCTCCCCAAACAAAGTACATTAGCAAAGAAGAGGAGAGAAAATGCAAATTAGTTAAGCAACTAGCAATGTCTGCCACAAACATATTGACAACCAAAATAACTATTATGAAATCATCATTTTCACTATGTTTTGATTCAGATTAAATGTTAGGAGAAACAACAGTAACAGCATTCTGCACTAAACAAGTACCTGGATTGTGCAAGGAACAACAGTGTATCCAATCTTTCTGAAATATTATTAAACACTGAGAACAATATACTATCTTTCTGAAAATTAGAAACTGCTTTTTTGGGGGGGAAAGAGGGGCCTTAGATGATTTTTCTTTTTCTCCTTCAGGGTATTTTGGAACGGCTGGATAGTGGGGAGGTTGTGATTGGAGATGGCAGTTTCCTCATAACTCTGGAGAAGAGGGGCTACGTGAAGGCTGGGCTCTGGACGCCGGAAGTCGTGGTAGAACATCCAGACGCAGGTCAGTGCCAGCGTCCCTGGGAGTGCTTATCTGGGGGACATTTTGAGTACATCTGACTGAGAGAAGATAAAAAAAATAATAGCATGCATTTTCTAAGGACTGTTTCACTTGTCAAAATAGCCAACATGTGGAGACAGTGACAGTACATGGTCTGAACAAATACGAGGAGAATAAAGTTCTCATTCTCTCTCTCTCTCTCTCTCTCTCTCTCTCTCTCTCTCTCTCTCTCTCTCTCTCTCTCTCCTCTTCCTCTTTCTTCTACCGCCACCATGCACACACATTTATATCTTTATATATAGGGACTACTAAAATGCACATCCTACTATGTGTCTCATAAATATTTACCCTGTGGATATTTAAGAATTTCCTTAATATAGTAAAACTGTTATTGCTTCATATTCATCCTTCTAGTTAA